GAGTGTGAGAAAGAGAGAGGAAAAAGTGAGAAAGCAAGCCACCAAGTCCAGGGCTCAAACCACAGTTGGCCATGTGGGCGTCCAGCGTCCTAACCCACCACGCTGCCTGTTGGTCCCAAATTGCTTAATTACTGAAGGCGGACAAATCAGTAAGGCTCTACACTATTTCCACGGTTTCTCCTTCCACAACGATCTTCTGAGATTACTTTTGCTTTGCTACCAAGAATATGGCAAATCCCATTTATTTTATGCTGCTGAAGCACTCTTGAGACCGAGAAAATGAGAGAGAAAATTCTCATCTATTCATTTTGGACAAAAATACAGGTGGTATTTTCAGGACAACAAATAGGTATCTATCTCCCCATCTTTTCATCTCTCCCTCTCCTTTCTTTTGTTCCTTCCTTCCATCCAACAAACATTATTTTAATTCTTCTAGTGGCTATAAGTCACATCTAAAAAAACCTATTATTTTGGGCCAGCCAGTGGGTGGTGATTAAGGCACTGGATTCCCACTTGGCATACTCTGCCCTTCAAGTACTGGACCCAGTGGCTTGAAAAATACACTGGGCATGTGTGCATGCCCAAAATCCTGAGAGGAGAATGGGAGAGAAGGGATTGCGACATGGTCATTCCTCTTGTGGGAGATTTCTCACTTTCCCTGTCTTTCTTTCTGTCTCTCCATATGGCAAAAAGTCTAAATAAGCACTATTATTTCAGTGGGACAATTTTACTTCCTTATATATGTACTGAGACCTAAAAAATGAGGACAGGTTTTTGTTTGTTTGTTCTATCAGTTTGCATGCACTTGCCAGAGAAAGACAGAGACAGAGAGGGAAAAAGAAATAACCCCCCCGCCTCCCCCCACCCCCCAAAGGGATGGCCACACTGCAATACCTTCTCCTGCATTCTCCTCTCAAGATTTAGGGCATGCACACCCATGTGCCGAGTGTGATTTTCAAGCTTCTAGGTCTGGGACTCTAACGGTGGAGTTGAGCATTGGGATTCAATGGTCCCCATACCACCTGCTGTCCTGAGGACAGATTTTTATAAGCTACAAACACAACCAGTCCTTACTTTAAAGTCGTTCTAGCTAAGCCTCAAACACAAGTGCTACACTTTCCTTATTGCGTGGGGGAAAAAAGAGAGAGAGAGATTGAGGTTTTTGTTTGTTTGGTGTTGACATGACTTTAGGATTAATTGAATCCTTGCTTTCAGTTTTAAAGGAGAAAGAGCTTCATTAAAAAATGAAACCAACTAATGTTTCTGGGATGCGGGCCTTTATTTAAGGTATGGTACCCTCATTATAAATAAAATGTGATAACAAATTTCAAAAGTCAGTCATGGAAGAGGGAACTGTTGCTCAGAAATCCTTGATTTTAAAGAGTCCAGCTTCCATTTAAAGTCCTCAAAGAATATTTATTAGAATTATTTCATCATCTAAGAGGTCTTTGAAAGTGTAGGATCAGTGTTGGTAATGTTATCCTTGTTGGAGGATATTCTGCCCAAATTCTCATTTCCTTCATGACCTTATCTATCTGGGTAAGGCAACCGGTACATAATTTCTGCACATCTGAGTTTATACCCCAGCCTGGAACAAATGCCCCCAACATCCTAAACGGAATCCGAGCATCTACTGCTTTGTAATATAAAGTCACAAAAAGACCTATTTATTTCCCCCATATTATTGCTCTCTGTATGAGAAAGAAATTAAATATTACCATTAGATCACTTATAACTTTTTTTTGTTGGTCATATGTCTACTTTCCAATCATGTACTGCAAGGCAAAGTTGACCTATGCTGTTACCTTAGGGAGAGTGATTCCATGTTTGGAGCTTTTTTTTTTTTTTTTTTTTTTTTTCTTCCTCCTTGAGCTTGAGAGAAAAGGGAAGAAAGAGAGAGAGGGGGAGGGAGAAAAGGAAAAGGAGAAAGCACCCTTAATGGGGTCCCAATGTCACAATCTACTCCTGGCCTCAACCAGCCCCAGATCAGGAGCATGCTTATGCTTGGTGTATCCAGGGAGGTCTCCAGACAGGAACCCCGAACTCTCCCACATGGGTTAGCTTCATAGACCATCACGTTTTACTGCTGTGCCACTGTTGGCCCCCTTAAGTCTTTTAAAAAGGTAAAAACTGAATTCTTTCCTGTCTGATAGTGAAATAAAGGAAAGCCCTTAAAAAACCAATCAGAATTCTGACTGGATTTTATTTCTATTATACTTGATCTTGATAAAGAAATAGTAAATGATAACCAAAGAAACTGAAAAGGGGAATTTTAGTTACTCAGTAAGTAGCAGAGGATGTATCATCTCCCATCTCTCATGAAACAGACATGGCATCTGCATGGAGAATTCGTATTTTATTCCACCTAAGTCATCAAAGATATCTCTCATCCTATTCCTAAACCGTTCTTGTGAAGGAGAAAAGGATAATTCTATATTCTATAGCAGTTTCAATAACTGTTTCACTTTTATGCTTAAACATTTCCTTTCGGTTTAACTAGGAAATGAAATTAGTCAAGAAACTCAATCTCCAAGCATTTCTTAAGAACTCTACCTCCTATGCCCCTCAGTTCACTATCCTGTGCCCCCAGATGAAAGCAACCAAAATTAATGTCTGATTTAAATCTTTAACTTACCGATGACTCATAAAATTCTCATAGGATAGTTTCAGATCACGTGGGATCATTACAGGTCTTGGTTGCACCTGAGGAAGAAAGTCTCATTTGCAACATGGCCCATACCTGCATTCTGATTTAAATAAATAATGAACCATCTTAGTGATATCAAAGTCATTCACACATCCTTTTTTTTTTTTTTTTTTTGTGGAGAGGTT